TCTTATACTCAGTGTATTTTTAATAGACGAAGCATTTATATTTATCGACTCAATACAAGACTCAAGAAGATTTTCTATTCGTAGTGTGAAGCGTGGATCATGTTTATATTTTACCTCCCTAACATAGACCTGTATTTTATTGCGGTACTAAGTCTATGAAAGCAGTTAACCCAAGTAATGTTTAAACGCCTAGCTGTAGCTGGACGCGGGCTGATATCGGATATAAATCAACAATTGTCATTGTCTTAATCTCTTCCGATTTACATAAGTTTAACGTTATGTAAGATAGAAACAGTGTAATATGGATTCGAGAATCAACTGCCGAGTGGTAGAGCGATGAAACGATGTGGTCGTGGATTCGAGACGCGTCTGTTTCATTGTTTTCGTTCTAAAAGCTCTACCATGGCAGAAAAGGAACAAATTGTCGATACAGAATTCCTTCTAATAAGCAAGCTGTCAACCGGGTTCAATATTTTAAGTACATACCTTTAGCTGTACTCCAGTGGTTAACTCCAGACAGATGTACACTGTTATTGTGGCATGTTAGTCTTTATAGTAATTGGGGGAAAAAGGAGCGCATAAAAGAGGGAATACACTGACGTCAACAGACGTAAAAACACAGATTTCACGGAAAGTAATCACACTATAAAACGCACTATACTCGCGGAAACTATTAAAAGAATAACTAGAAGGCAGTCTCTCTAACACGCGGCCGTTATAACGTAATATTCTCAATTGACATAAAAAAAAACTGTGCAAAAATGTGGCACTTAAAAGTAGTTCATAGCGCGCTACTGACCTCGTTCGGTCCTGATCTCGAAAAAACTAAACTACCCCCAAACAATATTATTTTATTCATTTGCAAGTTTTCCAAATTATTCTATTCTATCTGTAAAAAGATAATTATAATACCTTTTATGGGCCTTATTATGGTCAAAAAGATTTTTAATCTGTGTTGTTGTTTACCAAAAATAATGCTATTTATTATTTAAGTTAATTAATAATGCAAAATTGCGAATAAACAAAGCTTCCATCCTTTCACTCTAGAGTTTATTATTTATCTGATATTGTTAAATATACAAATCTATAGGACCTATCTTAGGGAAACATAAAGAAAGATTGATCATCACCTAGATCCAAGAAAAACCCTTGCTTTCCGACTTCATCCCAAAAATATATGTATGTTCCACATGTAGCTTAAAAGTTTTTCTTATGGAGACGAAAGCAAAAGTTATGCAACATTATCTATTGATAATAACAGTTATAATTTACGCACCACGGGGCCAAAATAACGATAACCTTCAATAAAAAAAACAAGTACGGCCTTCTCAAACGTCCATTCGGAGAAGACGTTCATGCCAAGCCTTCGAAATTACGTAATTAAATAGACCTCTCGCGATATAGAAATGGATTTGCACTTTTACTTTTATTTTATTTATATAACGAGCTTCCTAGACTGGTTTACACGGCCCTTATGAAGCACATTACCCGCTGGTCTCCATTTTTACTGACCGTTCCTTTCTGAGTTTTCTTTATATTGTCTAATAAAAGAGAAATATATCTTAGTTACGTTTCGATAAACTTTTTCATGTTTCAGATTAACATTCATTTTTTATATCTATATTTACTAGGGAATCACATATTTCGAGCCAGTTCTTTGAACTACAATTAACGATCTATAGTTTACACGAGTAGTGTGTATATAATGCTTTTGACGGTTTCAAACATGAAATATTGTGAGAAAATTATTGTTAATTTACACCCATAACAATGAAAATCCGTAGTTTATTCAAAGTAAAATAATATATTTCGCCTTTCGAACCGTCACAATATTAAAAATTGTGCTGCATTTTTTTTAACGTATACATTTCGGATTGAAGCTATGACTACTGATTTACGTGATAATAATAAAGCTTATAATTATTTTAACATAATTGAATGTAACATACTAAAACGAACCCATCTTTATTGGGTCGATGTTAATTCCATTCGTTAATCTGTTAGAAGAAGAAATACATTTATTTACCGTGAGACCTACAATCACATATAATAATATAAGACTTCTTATAAAATATAGAAATATTTAATTAAATGTTGCATATTAATTACTATGCATAGAATTGGATTTTACTCAATTAATATTAGGTCTTGTGTTGACCTGAAACTGTCCTTGGAGTGTGGACGATGCCACACGCAAGTGAAAATGAAATAAAAAGTACAAATTACTCTACACAGCTTTTATAAAGTCTAGGAAATGCGATAGTTGGTTTTGTTACATAAAGCTTAGTAAAGCTCTAGTGAAAGTTTAGTTCCGACAATAACCTCGGTGGGCGCCTTAGTATTGGAATCTATCTTTCATTCAACCTCGTTTTAATTAATTGAAGGCATTGTGTACATAAAAAGTATGTTTGTCACAATGTACTTTTTATATTTTACTAGCTTATCCGGCAAACGTGTTTACACAACTCTGACAAAAAATTGGTAATAATGCACGAGTTTTGACCAAATTTGATTACCGTAAAGACATATTTTTTGTTTGCAACGTGTTTGGAGGGCGGTCTAAATTCCATCCCTACCTGCATCCCACGATATTTATCTTTGTGTACATTTACACAATATTATTCGGACTACGGCGTATCCCAGAACCAAATTGACGTTGTGATAACCCATCGCATTTAGGAAGCGTGTCATCATATACTATGGGTTACATAAAAGGCCTGAGTCCCAACGGTGGGACCTCTTGAAGGACTGATGATAATTAAACTTACTTATTTGGTCTTGCTGTCTAAAATGAACGTAACAGTACTGCATAACACATGGAATGTAACTTTCTTAGTAGGAGCAACCACTTTTACCAGACTGAACGTAAAAGGGCGAGAGCACTTCCTGCCAGGGTTGTAAACTCGTAACTGTCTACATTTTTATATATGTATATGTAACACAATATATCTATATTATACCTAACGCGTTATATATAATTGCAACATATAAAGCCCTATATCTTAGAAGTTATGATATATATCATGTAAAAATTAAAATAATTTTTCAACTTTGGAGCAGCAGACACGAGTTTGTTAGTTTCGAATTGAAAAAATAGTTTTGTGTTAGTTAGAGCATTTATCGAGGAAGGCTATAAAACATTGCCCTATCTATTCTAATATATACAGCTGAAGAGTTCATTTGTTTGTTTGAACGCGCTAATCTCGGGAACTACGGGTTCTAATTGAAAAATTAGACTACGGACTAATACAAGCGAAGATACAGCGGGAAATGTGAACAAAACTCGGGAAAATTACCCAAAAAAATATATAAAAGAATGATTGCTCTTTAAATGATCTAAAAAAGTCCGCGACGCTATATGTCTATCTTTTAAGATTAACTTGCAAGAATGACGGGAAGGGAATTCATAGCCACAGATTAAAATGCTGTCAAATTTTATTGCGTTTTGGTTTCCGTCTGTGAGTTTCCAAATGTCCAATTATTTATTACATCTAAATGTAAACTAAACTAGGGGCCACTAGCTAAACCCCATGCTGTCTGTTTTCCTCTATTAGAAACAATACAGGTCTTTTATTCGTTACACTGCATATTTCAAACTTCATCAAACAAAGTGCCGTATTTTTAATTCACATTCTAACAATAATCTTAACAGCCAGGCGTGGTAAGTACATTTTTTAAAATAATGACCTCAGGTTAACATGTAACAATTTTATGGTAGATTAATTGCCTCTCGCTTTCAATGTTATGTCAGACAAATGAACTAGATTCTTGGATTATGTAATGCGAGCTTAGATTGCGATCACATTGCGGCTTCAGATGTGGATGATTAGTTTCCCGTTTAAACAAAACACTTCAACCGTTTAAAACGCGAAATATATTAGTTAAACTTGTTTTATAATTATGTTGACTGCGACCTGACGTTTGCTGTGCTTTGCAGCAGTCACCATGACCAAAGTCTAGAGATGGAGAGTTGAACTAATATATTTCTAAATTTAAACTGTTAAAGAGAGATTAGCCGGAAGAAAAAGACAGACAGACAGACAATTTTTTTTAAATGTTGTTTTGGATGTGTATACATTTATGCATTTAGTAAAAAGCGGTTATTTTAATGTTACAAACAGACACTCCAATTTTATTTATTTATATAGATAAGTAATCCATCGAATATATGGGGTTTCCATGTCGATGTGACGTAGATTAATATTGCAATAAATTCTTCCTTTCTTGTGTTTCCGTATACACGGAGTTTCTAGTCCCCACAATAGGACAAGCCTGCGTCGTGGGTTACTAGTCTCACTAATCTTTTTTAATGCAGCTAAGAGTGGACAAATGGGCTGTCGACCTATTTAGCATTAGACTTTAGACAGACTGAAACTTTAATGTAGATTCACACTCACAGATTTTCTATATGTGAAAGGTGCCAGTAATACTGAAAAATCTCACATTTTTAGAAACGTCATTCATTTATATAAAAAACGTACTGGAGCCGGTGAAATTGAATTTCCGACCACTTAGTTATTAGCCAAACATTGCCACACGTGGACCAACGAACCATCGAATAAGACGTAATTGTAGTCGTAGATATATGTCAGTTGTCATTAGTAATCTACACTAATATAAAGCTGAAGAGTTTGTTTAAACGCACTAATCTCAGGAACTACTGGTTCGAATCGAAAATTATTTTCGTGTTGGTTAGAACATTTATCGAGAAAAGCTATATAACGCTTAAATCATCGCGCTGTGACTAATAGGAGCGAATAACAGCGGGAAATGTGGAAAACACGGGGAAACTAATTCATCTTTGTGGTCTTCCGATGCATACGCTGCGAAAACTGTTCATGATAGCCAAAAAAAAGTATGAAAGAATGATTCCTCTTTATGATCTAAAAAATATCCGCGATACTACGAGTATGAAGGACGGGACGCGGCGGTAATACAAATGACCTTATATTTTTTTATAGGTTTTACGCCGAAACGGAAATGCAGGTTGGGGATGGCAGATGCAAGCAAATGGGCCCACCAATGCTGGATACTACGTAAAATTACCGCAGGTGAATTTATTTCTATAATTCAACATTCTGTCTCTCTTGGTATCGAATCTTACTCACGTACAGTTGGTAGTAGGTATATTATAATGTGCATCCACCATAACGTGTTTAAATGATACATAAATAGTAAGTCGATTATAAATTGAAAAAATTTTCGACTCGGGCAGGACTTGAACCGGCATCGTCAGCGTTCCGTGCTGTTGCTCTACCAATTGAGCTACCGAGTCCTACATCTCATCGTCGAATTTCTTCAACCTATTGATACATGCAACTCTCGCGCAATGTAATTGAGTGTATTTATGATTTCCCCAATAAAAACTGTCAAATATATTCGAAGCAGGAAAGTGGTAAGAGTTGAAAATATCGTTAAAAATGTTTCGCACCGTCACGGATCATTTACCACCGCACATCATTAAAAAATACCGCAATGTCGCTCTGTACTGTTATATATTGCATTGTTGAAAACTAAGCTAGTTAATTTATTGTTAATAATTATTGTAACGATATTATTTGCTATTAATAGTTTCTGTCTACAAGACAGTTCGTTTTAATTATAGAAAAAGTTAGCTTCTGCTTAAAATCGATTGTACGTTATATGGTGGGACTTAAATGAGTATTAAGTAATCTGTGTTTGATGCTGTGACAACCATCCAAATGAAATTATTAACATTAGTTTGGAAACTTTTGTCTAGATACTGTCTATAGTTTACGCGAGTAGTACACATTTAAATAAAACACTTTAACGGTTTAAAATGCGATATATTAGTTGAACTTATTTGAAAATGATTTTTAACTTCGGCCCGATGTTTCGGATGGTTTGCAGAAGCCGTGCTTACGGGGAGACTCCCCGTGACAACTAAATAAGTTTAACTAATATATCGCGTTTTAAATCGTTAAAGTGTTTTATTTAAATTTTGTCTAGATGTAAATAATAAAAACCATGCCTTTAATATGTTTTTTGGAACAGTTTCCTTATATTTATTGTTAAATTAGTCCAGCACTTTCAACGGTTTATAATGCGAAAGGTATTGCACTTATTTACAATGTATTTTAATTTGGGACGTTTCGGTTGCTCTGCAGTAGCCGTGGTCACTGGGGGACTGAAGAACGAGGGTTTCCGCCACCTATTTCCTCGTAGTTGCTATTTGGAGATACAAACTGGGTTCTTACAGAATTGACAATGTCCTTTCGCTTCTCGATCGTCCAGTTAGATTAAAAAAGTATCGGTGTTACATTTTTTTAGCTACGTTATTGAATCTAAGAGGTAGATAATTATCGAAAAAGGCACAATTATCGTCTCTAGCTATTTTCATCGATGTGCTCTCGACACTTTCGAAATATGTTTGTTTTAAAGATGTAACAAACAGCGAAAACATTTGAAATCGAGATCACATTGCCCATTTTGGTATCAGAGCAATAAACTCGTCACACGACAATCAATACTATTGACTTATCCTTAAGAAGTAAAGATCTTAAGATATTAATTATTTAATAGGTTTATTTATTTTCCAGTCCGAGCAACAAGTTCGTTATGTAGCCGACCACAGCGGGTACCACGGTTCTCTCGCGGTTCCAACAAATCGTCATCGCTCCGCTCCGTCAAACTATGCTTTGGGACAGCAAGCATTTGAACTGGATAACGAGGTGATGATGAAATAAAATGATATTTGATTAATAACCGAAATAAGTAACTATATGAGGCTGCTAGAGGCAGAATGGTCTAATAACACAAACATGATTTTCAATAAGAAGAAAAATAAAAATGCGCAATTAACTTAGACAAAAATTAATTGGTACTGTTATTTGTGTAAGACTTATGTTAACAATTTTCGGTCACTGTGCTCTTGTAGATTAACATTTTTAGACTATAAAGTTATAAGTCAAGTCATAAAATTGCAGTTAGGCTACTCCGCCTCTAGCGGTCTCATATAAATGTGAAGTAGCTAGACTCATCACACTTATTCAATACAATAAAAATGTATATAAAATTAAATGCACCGATTATACATAAGAGTTTGGGCTCATTGGTGTAATGGCAGCAACGTAGGTATGGCTAATGATCAAGGGGACGCGAGTTCGATCCCCACCGCGTCCAACTTGTTTCAAAACAAGTTATAATGTTTCTGAAACACTTCATCTGGAAATTTGGATAATAAATGGGTGGTAGGAATATTGAAATTCCGTCCGGGTTAAGAACCACCGTACACAGATGAAAAAGCCATCGAGTTTAATCGCGTTTCATTCTATGAATTTCAAATCCGAACTAGGTCCACATCACGTCTTGCTTAGATATTCTATGGAGTATTTCATCTACCATCGAGTGAACGTCATGCTTTTCCGTCCTCCTCTATCATATTAGATTTAATTAATTTAAGAAATGTATGGATTTATGGTCTGACAAATAAATAAAATAATCTTTATGCTCTTAAATAAAAAATGTTTTTTTTTTCAGACTCATCAAAGTAATGTTAACAAAATCCCGTATGAGAGCCAAGAAACGAGTGCTACATCGGATGTTAGAGCTATTCAGAACCCACTTGAATTTTACATCCTCCAAACACAGTATCCCATGGCTCAACACCAAACTTCGATCTTCCAATTAGTACCCGACGAATTACAAAACATTGTTCAATATAGCCCAATGCCGAACATTTACTTCGGTGAACCGAAAGGAGAATATTATAATTATCAGGTACATCACGTTAATACAATACCAAGCGCAGAACAAAACAATAATTTTGTGAATAAAAATAATCTAGCAGACAGTGGTGAAACCTTACACGATAAAACAACAGAAACACGTCCAATAGAAGTTATACAAGTATTTAAAAATCATAGCTGTTCCAAGAAGGAAGAAGAACAAGTAGAGATAGACAATAATAAAGACTCTCTTGATATCAGTGATTTTCCAAATATTGAACCCACAGTTAATGGTAATTTTGGTGCTAAAGAACCTAAATTATACAAAGGTACCGTAAATTTTCGCGTTGAATCACCCAGATCAAACGCAAGGAATGAAAGATTATTCTATTCTAGTGTATCGGGGTCCACGACCCCTCAAACAGTGATGTTCAATGAGGAAGAAGGTATATCTCGTCTCGTAGCTTCCACTCAAGATCTAATATCCAATGAGGACTTATTGAAAATTAATCACGCTGAAGAAGTGCCCGTTTATAACCAAAATGATGATCTGATCAAGCCTCGAGCGAAATACAGCGTAAGATCACAACAATTTCACGAGTCTTCAAAAATTGTACCACAAAGTCATGTATCATTTTCCACTAAATACGGAAACCTCGTGAACACTAAAACAAAACATACCGAAAACCATAGACAACATAAGAAAAAACCAGATGAATATTCTTTTAAGAGGCCAATAATTGTCGCAGATTCGGAAAAAGAAAATTACAAGCAAAAGGCGGTTAATAATTTAATATCCACGATGGTTCCATACATTCAAGACGGTTATGAGCTTGTTGGATTGAAAAATAGCTTAGATGAAACTGAACAACATTCAGATGAAGACTTAGTTAACATCACACCGCGGCCGGTTGGTCAAAATTTCCTTACACCAATAACAGTTGCTTTAAGGCTCCTTGATGCTAATGATACGGATTTTGAAGACCATGAAATATCTGAAAGTGAAAATATACCTGAAAAGGCGATGCCGGATAACGAGAGAACTATCATAGAAATTCAACAATCGATACCTATAGAGATAACTCATATAAATGATGTAGAATATCATCGCGAGTATATGGAAGATGGCAGAAGTAACAATCGACCGTTTAACTATGGGAAAGCTTTATATAATCAATATGATTCAAAATTATACGGCAGACATACTCATAACGACGATGTTGAATATAATCAAGGACAAAGGAATGTAAATTCTCGTGACAACGAACAATCAGGTAATACATATAACGAAGTACACGTTCACCCAAACGAAGACGAAAACAGTAAACATGTACATGAAACTCAGGACCACAAGCACATTGTGCAGCCAATAATTATAGAAAAAGAGGTCCCAGTTACTAAATTCGTTGACAGATTTATCGAAAAGCAAGTACCGTATCCTGAACCCGTAGAAATAGTTAAGCAAGTACCGGTCGATAGGCCTGTGCCTGTTCCTGTGAGATACGAAACTATTGTAGAGAAGCCAGTAGAAGTTACTAGATACGTTGATAAACCATACCCAGTAGAAGTAAGAGTCCCCTACCCAGTCGAGCATAAAATTTACGTTGACAGACCAGTTCACGTGCCGTACGCTGTTGAAAAAATTGTAGAAAAGAATATTTTACACCCTGTAGCTGTTCCAACCCCTGTAGCCGTTCCCGTTCCAGTGGAACAAAAAGTATTATACCCTGTTCCGGTGGAAAAACCCGTACCCGTACCTGTACCAGTAGATCGGCCCGTTGATAGGATTGTACACAAAGAAGTTCCAGTTCCATACCCAGTTGAAAAGAAGGTGCCGTATCTTGTACCGCATGAAGTCCGAGTACCCGTACCGTATCCAGTAGAAAGGAGAATACCAGTTCCTGTAGAGAAAATTGTTGAAAAGCCAGTAACTAAAATCGTGGAGAGGCACATAAAGGTACCACATCCGGTACCGTACGAGGTTCACGTCCCGAAACCTTACCCTGTCGACAGAATAGTCGAGAAGAAAGTGCCTTATCCAGTCCACATAGACCGGATAATTGAAAAAAAGGTACCCGTGCAAGTGCCATACCCTGTAAAAACTGTGGTCGAAAAGATCGTCGAGAAGCCAGTAATTGTGACGAAGTACGTCGATAAGCCTTATCCAGTGGAGAGAATCGTGGAAAAGAAGGTACCGTACCCAGTAGAAGTGAAGTCACATTATTCTAACAAACCAGATATCCCATATCAATTCGAGAAGATAGACCCAGCTATTTACTACGGATATGGAAACGGTGGCTACCAACATGGTGGCAACTTTATCAATTACATTCCAAGGGTGTCAACGCTGCAGCAGAACCAACAGCTTCAGAACTATATGCAGCATCAAGCGGAATCACAAAGAATTTATCAAATACAAAAAGCCACCGACGAGTACTTGAAGGGTCTTTACAAGCAAAATGTACCAGTACATTCGTCGCTGTGGGGCACCCAATATGCATCTTCATATTCTTATCTGAACGCAACTGATAAGAACTATGTGCCATCGAATTATATTACGAACGACCAAAAATATTACGGGCCACCTCCAACGAAGGCATACAATTTTACATGGGAGAAACACCAGGATTACGATAGACGTAGAACGGACAGGGTGCCCAAGAACTTGAGGATAGAATATGGGGGATTCAAACCCCCCTTAATTCCTAGTACGGAGGTTGATTTAGACGGAAATCCAATTAAAAAGCAGTAACTAACGCAGTCTGTAACCAAACACAAATAAATTAAAAATATATTTGTTCTATACGCCTCCGATGTTGATAAGATGTAGTACAAAATTTATCTTAATCTCAGTGTATGAAATCGTGGATGTAAAAATGCTTTAATTTTTAACCGTTAATGTACTGAATTTAACCGCATTTATTTCTAAGTAAGCTTAATGTAGAAACATAAAACGGCAGGGCATGGAGACGGTGTAACTTCAAAAGCTTCAAAAGGTATAAAATTGTCATTATTGTGAACTTAAAAAACAGCACATCAATAATAATAATAGAATACTGTATCACTAAGACAGAAACTTTAAAAATGCACACTTATTGCCAACTAAGCTCAACAACCTAAGTACATAACTTCGGTTTTAATTGCTCTACTTGTGGTGTATGTTTGTATCGTAACTGGGATTCATGCGCGCCCTTAAAAGGGAATAGAAATATTTTAAGTGTGGTATAAACATACGTCTCCACATAGTATATAATTTAATTTAATGAACTCTTAATTACGCACTAGCGTCACGAAAATTATAATGACAATATGTCAAAATCTTTCTCACATGCGGGCGTTACCTTTACTTGTATTTGGCAGTGTCACACAAACATAATAATAATAACTGTGCACAATGTCCAAAAAGCTCCCAGCTACACTCCTAGCGCACGCTACCTTCGTTCTGCTGTCTTATCGATAATGTGAAACTACCCTCCAATTTATTATTTTGGTTACACTTGTCGGGCGAAGAGAAGTTTAGTCTATGCAAAATGTAATCCCATATTTATTGTTACTATAGGGGTATATTTTATTTTGTTTCGCAAGTACATTGTTCTACAGTAAGTTTACTCGGATCAAATTATATTATACCAACGCGTTGTTTAACATTTTTAGCGGAAATGAAATTTAATTATATGTTAAGTAGTTTTTAATTCGTATAGTATAATTTATTTCATTATTAGCAAATAATAAAAAAACCTTATTTCTTGATTCGTTCTTCAAATCTTCACTTTAAAAAATGTTTCTTATTTTACACTATATATATTGTTATCTTAACATGACAAATTAGAAAATAATTATTTAAAACGACAAGTAATAACGTTTAATTTATATTATTTAATAATACTAGTATAAGAAATGTATGCTCAGTTACTTATAAGTTGTTGACAATAAATGTTGAATATAAAACTCGTTTTACTTTTTTCTTCGGGCGATCACTAGTTTGCGAGCAAGTGGGATTCAAAGAAAACAAAGATATGGAATTAAAAATAAAATTTATTTCCACTTGAACATCTCACGAACGCCTCAGCCGACCCGGGCACGTCGGCTCTACGCTAAATGATAGAAACCAAAGCTCATAATATATAAACATATAACTACTGTTTGTAAACATTATTATATTAGTGTCTCGGCTTCTTCTGTCATAATTCCATTGTATTTAAGATTCTAGATCCAAGATAACCTAGTCTTAGTTATTTAATATTCGCGATATAAAAACTGATTGTATGTTTAAGTTGTCCAAGTGTTGGAGCTACGATAGAAGAGCCGATCCGTCAGATTTGTGATTTTATGTAAAAGTATAACACTACGCTTAATTAAGATATATAAAATACGCGATCGCCACACACGAAACCTCATATACTTAGAGTGCATATCACACAATATACTGACGTGAGAGAGGAATAACTCACTAAAGAGGCTGAACGCAGAAATAACGAAAAACTGGTGATAGATTCACAAAATTGTTGTTTTGAGTTCCTAACACCTGCGTCACACGTCTTTTGGCTTTGTAGTGAACGATTTTTGACACTTTCTAATCCAGCCTTATAATTAGAAAGAGACAACTAGACTGAGTGCGACCGCGTGTTAATTCATATCATGATTCAAGTATTAAAGTTGAAAAGTAACGGACGTTGCAGAAAGGTAACAACTAAAACTATTAAATTTGTGTCCTTCTTTCTTGTTGACATTTATTTGAATCCACGATTACAAGTCAAGCAAACTATGTAAACACTATAATAAGCTAATCCAAAGTTGGGCCTGAATAAAACTACATTTGAAATTATTATTGATTCCATTTACATTATAGTGTCTCGTAACATTTTCTGGCGTCACGTCAGAATTTCGGCAGAGACGCGGAGCAATTATAAAATCATCGTGTTAAAAATATTTAAAAAATCAATACACTCAATGTATGTATAAATTCAAAATAAAATCGGTTAAAACGTTCTAAAGTGACGTCAAAAAGGAGTAAAATTATTTCTTACAACATCCCAAGCGATACATAAATTCAGTAGCAAAAGTGTTAATTATTTATGATACCCTAATTACATCTCGACCGACAGCCATTTGCATTTTTATTCTCGTTACATTGGAAAGAAATTACAACAAACACTAAGCTATAACTTGTATCTTGAGCGCGAACCCACTTTGTACATTATTACATTATTAATATACGTAAAAATTATCAATAATAATTAAGCGATAGCACAAAAAGTACGTCCGCACGGCAAGAGTAGAAGCGCCATTTTGAATGTCAACGGTCACTTTAACACGTCGTTCGAATTTCAAATTTGAATATCAAAATGGCGTTTCTGACGTCACCGCACCCGCAGCTTATCTACATTAAAAATAATAAAAAGCACGTAAATGATATTTTTACAAAGGCGTTGTATACCTGAGAGCGCATAAATTAACTAAATAAAAAATTAAATTGAACCTATCGACATTAAATAAACCACCGGCCACAAAAACCATCTTGGCACATTGCAAATCACGCCATCATTATTATTATATTTTAATCGAATTCATTTTATTCTCGTGAAAAAATTTAAGAAAGTCAAAACAAACCACTGTGTTATGACGAGATACTTCGCGCGCTGAAATATTTACACATGTCGAACGCAATCGAAAGGGGGAATTATTAGCTAGATTACACTTGTATCAATGATTACATTTACTTTAGATTAATTAACCGAAGAGTATAATAACTATTCGTCACTTCCCTACGAGAAGCGACCGAAGACAGGTGAGTCGTGCCACCTATGTGTATAACAATAATTATTATTGCTAAAATTCGAAAGAAAAACAAAACCGTAACAATTAAGTGGTCCAGACGGGTTCCGAACATCCTTCATCTTATTTCGAAATCGACCTACGAGATCCTCGCTTCTTGAAAGTGTCGAAACCGCTGGACTACTCATAAATTAAATATAAAACGATTCAATGAACATACGGCTATATCTAATAAACAGTAAGTAAAAACCCTAGAATGAGATTTCGTTTATTCAATAATTAGTTAGGTATGCGAAGGTATTTGTGAATGTCGAGAATTACACTTTAAGTACGATTCGTTAAAAAAATTCATTAACTTGAACATGTTGTATAGACATTTCATTATTATTACATTATACATTTAACGTAAGTATAAAACTGTGACCAAAGCTCTCGAGTACAAAGATGGAGGAAATCTCAGTCGAGGGTATTCTAAGAATCACCGTTCGAATTTTGAAATTTCAAAAATCGAACAGCTCCGGCGGCGGTATCGGCTCGGTCGGGAGGCAGTCGCACTCCGGCGGCACCGGGGAGCAGTCGCGCGCGTGGCGAAGTGCGTGCGTGCTGGCCGTGTGCCTCGTATCGATGTCACTGTCGCGCATCGGCTTGAAGTAGTCGCTCCGGGCCAGCGGGCACGTCGTGGTTAGATAGTGGGCTAACGTACCGGACCTGGTGCGAAGTCCCGCGTTAGCGACCAGAACCATGTCCTCGGCGGATAGGCGGAGGCTGTCGGTGCGGGGGGGTGGAGGCGGGACGTTGAGGGGTCTTCGCCGCCGCCGCCGGGGGGCGCTTCCGGGCAGTCACAGCTTGAGCTCATTAGCGATCTTCGACGCAATGTTTTTGAATCCGATGCTGGTGCCTGAAAAAATAATGATACACTCATTATTATATGACGGACTGCAATAACAACAATATCGAGTTAAATAAAACAATTTTAACGGCTTAAACTAATACATTTTACCGTAACGTTAGAACTGTTTTAGTGTTTTTCTTTCTTCTTTTTTTAAATGTATACTTCTAGCGTAAACTAGAGACATTACATAATATCGTGTTAACAGACATAAAAAACTGTCCTTTACGTTTAATTTACAGTACAAAAAAGAAATATTTGCGTTGCAAGTGTCAATCTATACTAATACTATAAAGGTAAAGAGTTGTTTGTTTGAACGCGCTAATCTCGGGAACTCCTGGTTTGGAGTATTTATCGAGGGCTTTAGGCAATAAAACATAACGGTGTGACCTATAGAACGACGTTGTGGATAAGAGCCCAAAATAACTGACTTCCCTGAAACCGCCGGTAATGGCACAGTTGCTGGGAATTGAGCTCACCGGATATTCTCTTGAAGCGAACGCCGTTGAGCGAGAGCCGAGGCAGCTTGCACACCTCGATCTCCCACTGCACCAGGGAGTCCGCGTTTGGGTCTCCGTGCACGCAGAGCAGCAGAAACCGTTCCCTTTGTTCGTAGTCGCAGTTGTTCGCATCTAACACCTAAAATGATTTTCATCAAACGTTAATTTAATTTAATTAATTTTTCCATTATAGTTCTTTATTATTTTTACAGTTTAAAACGCGAACTGTATTCGTCAACCTGATTTACAATTAATGCTCCATTTTATATATTTCGCCTTTTAAGAAATTTGTACTACTCGTGTTAAACTACAAAGAGTACCTACTCAACGAACATAATTTGATTTACAGTCCGTATCATATTATTTCGTTTAATTAAACCACCCCTCAAGAAAAGTATAACTGACACTAGACACAATCATATTAAAATGTAATCTCTATCTTGCCCTCCGCTAGAACCACTGGGTTTCCAACGCCCCTACGTAGAATGTGTAAATCGTACAATACAAGATTTCACAATGTTGACATATATTCGTGCCCCCTGCGGAGTTCAGGCGCAAGTTGTTATCAATGTGAAAGTAACTTGCGTTGGACTTAACTTTGACTAAATTGCTTGTTTGCGACTTTTTATTTTTTATTGTGTTTCGTATTTGAGGATTTATATCCTATAAAATACTAATGTATTCTTTTGGTGCTTCTGTTATGTTTCTTTCTTAAATAAATATATCACCTTTCGTATCTCAGCCATGATTTCATTGGGATCCCTCGACGACGTCGTTTTCATACTCCACGTGAAACGCAACACGCGCGGCTTCACTTGCTCCTCCGTACCCTGCCTGTAAAGCCGTATAAACCTTATGTACAATTAAATATATCAAAGTACAAAAAAATCACATGGATCCGTTTATTCGTCGCCTACCTTCGTCCATTAGAAAAACACGCTATAAAATATCGAATCCATTTGACATGGAGAAAAATAAACAATAATTTTAAAAAATAACAACAATAAAAAAATAATTCACTTTACGTTGTCGAACATCATGAACGAATGCAAAAGCGTTATTGTGTTTATGAGAACATAGTGAAATGAAATGTTGTTTAAGCACTAAATTATGCGAACTAAATCTGGCGTTACACTAGTCTAACTTAACACAATCGCCGATTTATTCAATAGTAAGATTTAAATAACAAAATGAAACTACTAAAAATGAGGGTAGTTACTAATTTAAGGAGTAACTAGAAAAATAGAAAATTATTTTGGGCAAACAAACGTGTTCGTTAGCCAATAGAAAAATATTACACTGCACATCTGTATCTAAGAATTTAGAAGACTCCGGCAACTATCGTCAGCTAATTATTGACAATAACTAATTTAATAACATCTTAATGATAATAACATTGAGTAAAATACGGCATATGTATAGAAGACGGGTTAAAACGCGATATATCAGAGATAGAGGCTCCATCTTTAGCCTCCCTGTGACCACGGCTGCTGCAAAGCATTCGGAACGTCGGGCAGTAGTTAAAATAATATATAACGCGTTTTAAACCGTTAAAATGTTTTTTTTTTTAAGTTACATTGTCATTAATCAGTTGATTTGCGGAAGCCGAAGATGAACATAATTTGGATAATTACCCAAGCAAATTTTGCGGACTAGCGCCTACCGCATGCTTCGGGGTGGTACCATCCATAGGCCTAAAAACAGAAAAACATAAAACTAACACGAGGGGGCGAGGAAAGGGCATTCGATGCACTTTGAGACTATATCAAGCTGGTATCAATTGCTTTCATCGTACATCCGAGTCCATCTCTTACAATTCCACATTGAAGTAGTTTTAATTGACAGACAGACAAGTAGTGCTTCTGATGTATCTAAAGACACCTTAAACATCCGCAAACTGAAATGGAAACGTGGATTTTCCACCAACAAAACGCGACCAGTCAAAATTTCATATCCAAATCTTCCGGATGATCGGTGCAATATATTTGGCAAAATCAGAAAGTGATTCACAAAAACGTTGTACCTCGTTAATTAACACCATTGGTAAAAATACAATAAGAATGTTGACAGCTTGATATAAAAACTCAGTACGATATAAAATGAGCGTAAAAAGCAAGCAAACTCGCTATGTACTACAACAATACATGCCACAGCCATGAACTTACCTTATAGTACGATTATAGTGTTATAATAATGAACGTATGATAGTTTATCTCGTCATTAAAAGGAGAAAAATGGTAAAGATATTATATAATACGCAGTACGTTACAAGGTAATGATCACAAGATCTTTATTGCATGTTATTTTTGATTAAGAAAACATTTGACACCTATTCTTGTTTATGATTTAATTGCATGCAATTTGCAACATGTTTTATAAACCGAAATGAGATTTACAAAATTAACAAATCATTAAAGAAACCAAAAGACATTATTTTAAATAATGATTAACGTAATCACTGTAATCCAGCCGATAAAACTCAGTTTATTCATTTTTTTAAATAAAAGAGATTAGTGACCTACATTTGTTAGTGATGTTATTACATATGAAATTACATATAACTCTCGGCTGAAATACTCGTTTTTTTTTTCTGAAGCAAGATGCATCGCAACACGAGTGTGGTTTGGTTGTGGCCTTGGTTACTTGGAAATATGAACTGTTTTTTTTTCCACACAAAGCAGGTAAATCCATGCCGAATACAATGGAACCGGCGCTGCCACAAATGCCCCACGCAATATTAGATGATCAAAAACTGTTAGAAAACACAGTACATATTCAGTTGGGGAGTACCTCCGCTGTATGTCCAGAGAGGAAAAAATGCGCGGTTTCTGACGCCCGCTTGAATCGCCCAACACCGACAAACTGGTGGTATTGAGATCGTCATCACTTATTTGTTATAAACTTAATCTAATGGCATGTCGAAAAAGTAAAAAAAAATCACTTGATGCAAGGTAAAACACCCTAACGTCACATCTTAATCAGATACATCGAGTGAAACAGGTTAGGATTAAAATGAAACACGTTGTATTGCAAAAAACTGATTATTGAGAATTACACAACCACTCATACATGATGTTGCCTTATTAACTTACGTCTTTACGTCCAGGAAGGTCAGATTTTGTCATATGTACAGGAACTTCAATTTAACGGTATGAAGATTTTTAATGTAGAAAAATAATCTCAGAACGAATAAGAAATAAGTTAAAGCTCTTGTTGTTTCCCTCTTTTTGTTAGTTTCATCACAATTCGCTTAACACTATGAAACGATGCAGAGAATTTGAAAAAAAAAACTGATTACACCGTTTTTAGTTTATGTAGAGTGTAGCTAAACATTAATTTTGCATAGTAAACAAAAACTTACTAAATGATTAAATAGAAAAAGTGAGTATATCAACATTTTTGCATCGGACGGATAATTGGTAATTCATAATTTGTCCTTTTAAAGTAAATTTTGAAAACATAAAAAAAATAAAACAATGCTGTAAGTAGAAAAACCTGCATTCAAAGGCGTGACATTACTATTATTTAAAAGTACACTTATTTTATATTAAAAAAAAAAATACTTTGAGAATACACAAAAGCCAATATCAGAATTTTCATATCTCCATCTTCAAATGAAAGCACCTTTCAACGATATAGTCTCAATCTTTTTGTATCACAAAAAATACTGTAATCGACTAAAATGCACATTTCCTAAATGATCTAACGATTCATGGAGGTTCACACAAAGAAGATTTGTTCATTGATTAATTGTATAATAACATAGGATCTTATATTAAGTAATTCAAGTTGTATATACATAGTAGGGTTGCCACTTCTGCAATTTCAAACAACTGATAGTAAGTAATCTTGACCAAATCGAAGTAAATTTGAATTATAATCACTTCGCAAGTACAAAACATAGAGATGTCAATATCTGTATCCAAGTTTACGGCCAAACCTGAAAATTGGGAGTATTTGTACCAATAGCGGGCGGTGTCCTATAATCTACGACTACATACTGCTATCTCACTCAAAACTTTAACTATATTCTTTATATTATTATACTCGAAATGTAATTTGTCATTATTTCAATTAAGAAAAGACATCAACAAGCAGACTGCCGAAACGAGTGTATATCGAGAATATTAAATTCTTACAATAATGATAAGATTAATTCGTAATGCTGAGTAAAATGTCATAATCAACATGTCAGTCATGAGTTTACCGAACGGTAAAGTTAGAATAATGATTTGTGCTTTAATCGTTAACTTATTATAACCCTGGAATGTTAAAATTCGTTATCTAAACAATTTAACTTCTTAAGAGCTAGGATGAAATGCGAAACGCGACGGGACTAGTTTTCCGCTACAAATTATATCATTAACGCGATATATTTCTCTTAATGATAAATCATAGCCGTCTGTCTGTTCAATTAATGAAAACTTTAAAATTATATTAATGAAAAACTTTAGAGTGCTCAAATTTGAGAGATACCGTCATGAATGCTGTAAAAACGAGTCAATAATAATATAAAATGTAGTCAGAAATGTCGTCGCAATAATCAAAAATTTAATGATACGATCAAACTCTGGATTGTCCACACGGCTTACATATAAATATAAAAAATGTTAACATTTCTTTCTTAGTAAACAATTAGAAGAATACTTTGTGTTCAGCGTGTTTTGTTATTTTCACTTAACTACACTTCAGTGTTACATTATTAATTGTCATAAATATTATCATCAATAATTTTATAAGTCAAAAATAGATTAACGTTCGCGAAGTGAGAAAGTGACGGAATGAGAATGCCATCGTTAATTCTCATCCCTCCAAGCCAGTGAAACGTCGACCATTTATTTTTTAATAAAAAGTACGTTCCACTTCACGGGAAAAAGTTACATAAAGCTGATATTCTCAAACCTGAGTCCGCAATAGACAACGCTGAACGGATCACAAAGACAACTTGTATAAATTAAGCATAACAATATCGCAAATATATTTTCTCTATTAAACGTCTTCATAGTCTTCGCAGTGGTCGGCGTCGCCTCACGGGTTTTGGTTCAACCTGCGTAGAACGGAACGGGTGAGCGAAACGATCGGACTCAAATCGAATCGCCCCCCTCTTCGACTCCGGCTCATTTTGTTCACTCACTTTAGATTGGAACGGACAATAATCTCGCGCCGAAAGATGCACAATACTAACTCCCTCCGATAGGCCGTTACTGTTAAGGGTTGTGGAAAACTAGAAGCGTCGTAGAACCGGCGGTGAATCGACTTCATTAGTAGAAGCGTACGGTTAGGATTAGTCGTCGCGAGGGCACGGGGGATGCACGAGATGCCGTCGGAATCTGACCCATTACATTCTTTTGCGATCCGTACACCTCTCGTCGAAAACCGGCAGTACTTGCGCTAGACTAGAACAACGAAAGCGTGGGGGCGTGGCGCCCGCGCATGCCTCGGCTCGTGGCGAAAAAAATAAAAAAAACAGCGTATCAACGGGGAACAAGGCATGCTACGCTAATCACTACTTCGCCAAGGCAGAGTGGATTTATCGAAAAAGAAAAAGGGAGATAATTAGCATCGTGCATCCCCTGTTTGACGCGAGACCAAACAAAACAGAACATAAAAACGGAGCTCGGAATATTTAGAGGGAGACAATTTGAGCAGAAATAACATTGAAACAAAAGTAACACAAATGATCCAAATGGTGGACACAACGTATGGTTAATTCTGTGATGGTGAAGTTAAGATGTCACGCTTGTGTCAGATTATTTACAGTAAGAAAAGGCGAGCTTTTTTGAAAGGACAAGGTCAAAAGAGCTCGCGCTGCTAGTCCTTTCCACAACCCTTTTAGAAATATTAACAATTATATAATTTGCCTGTCTGGCTTAAGGGAAAACTAATAATATGTCTCCTATGTTATTTCATAGTATGAGTATGACAGTGCTGAAAGCTTGCTGACATTGATGCTAGGAAACAAAAGGCATGATTTTCGTCTATTTTACAAGGAAATAGCATTTTGAGTACTACTTAAACACCAAAATTTGTTTCTCAAATGTAATGCTATTTCATTGCTCAGTGCCATTCATTGAAATTTAAGCGAAAGCGAATTTAAGAGAAAGAAAATGTGTGTCTAGGTTGCTCTATAATAGTGTAATTATATAATGTTATTAAGTTCATGTTGCGATTTAAACAATTACGAAATACAAGGGTAATTTTGAAGGTCTGCTAAATGTAAGATAACGATTACAATATAGGGAATCCAAAAGAATCTTGTTTCAATATTGTTATATAGATATTACAAATCTCTGTACAAGTCTGTGTACTTCCTGCACGTGAGAGTGACAAGTGAATGTTATGTGATTGTTATTCAACAGCTTACCGTTTGGAGAATCTCGAAGAGAGTTTCGAGAAGAAAGAGGGTCGCGCCTGGTGTGGTGAGCCACCGTCGCCGTACGCACCTCCTGCGCTGCCGCCGCGCGATCGAGTTTGACCTGGAAATATCAATTTTTCATATACATATTTCTCACATAATCTTTACCCGGTCTGGTTAGGATTTACGTACAAAAAAATAGTATTTTCTATGATAGAAAAGCGCAGATAAGCTTGCGGGACATGTAACTTTTAAACTAAATACGCTGTCGACCTATTTTGGCTTTATATTCAAAAATCCACAGATCGAAGTCGGCGCGCAATTGAACTTCATAACGAACCTTCGTTATGATGGAATTTCGATATTATACACCTATTTAACAACTAGATTTTCAAACGTATAACATATGTCAACAAAATATGAATTAATCAGAAACGCGATGGATACGTTTATAACCTCCACATTGCTACCATTACACTAAAAAGACCTTATTTGATTTTTATAGGATATTTTAGGAAGCTCTATCGTATGGTAATTAACCACGTTTTAGAATTGCACAGACCTCACAACACACACGTAGGAAATATAGTATATAGAAATAGCCAACGCTCAAAATCACCTTAATATCACCTTAATTGTTCAGAAAGTTTGTATAATATTTCCTTTGCTTTAGTACCATAGGAAGTATAGCGTGCCCTTAACAAAGAAGCAAGAACAAACATACCTGAATGGAAGGTAGATCTAGATGGAACATTTCTAGGGAACACTAGCGGGTTCGGAAAATCCCGGCGCGCACTCGCGTTCGCAGCGCCACCTGTGGCACCCACCGTTGTTGTCATTGTTGAGTTTAAACTGAAATTGAGGACATTTCATTTTTATTACTTCCTTTAAATAAATACAATCGAACATCAATTATATTACTTCTTAAATTATATTATTGACATATTTGAAGTCAAATCGACGACTTGCCAAACAATAATTTTCATGAAGAATAACCATAACGATAGGGTATAAGTAAACTGTAGAAGTCATGAAACAAAATAAATATATACAATTTATACATTTGATAAGTACAATATTTTGTAATTATATAAAATGTGATTTAAATAACCAACAACAGAGATAATGTTAGCGAGTGCAAAGTTAAGCTATACAAAGATAAATTAATTACTTTTGTTAATTTCGGTTTAAATTATAATTATGTTAAAGTAAAATCTAATAAGATACTATTAAATTGTTATTACAACTTGTAACTATTATAAAATCATATTTACCAATATTACCACTAACTACTCATGCGGTAATCTACATGCATGCCCAACAATCAACACACTTATATCATATTATTAAAAAAATAACTGAAGTAATACTACAAAATAAAATTATTCTTACAATTTGTATACAATCATAATTTATGAAATAATTAAACAATTCGAAAACATATATTAAACAAAGTTTCAACTATTTAAAATCACAGCAATACTTAACAAATATCTATGAGTGTAAGTAGCATTGTAAAACACTTCACTCCCAAAAAAGCACTTTGAGGCATCTAAGTGATTAGTTAAAATACTAAATCTGTACAGGCAGTGTAAAACCAAGGCATGTTCCTCATTAAGAACTTAAAATTAAAAAGAATGTACTTAGAATTGAATAAAACACTCGTAACGGTTAAAAATATATCAGTTTAAATCTAATTTTTAACGATGCTACCGCCATCTGTTTCGTCGCAATTGCAATTGGCAGATTTGACTTTGGCAGTCTAATGTCAATGTGACAGTGACAATATGTGTTTGACGTAATAAAAAGTGTTTTATCTAATGTGTACTACTCGCGTAAACTACAAACAATACTATGTACATGGAATCTCAAAGCAAATAATATTAAAATCCAAAAGCAACAACTAAAACGAGCCTACTAGCGCGATAGGTGATGGCGAATTTGTGCAACACAAACAGACCCTGAACTCGGGACCATCAGGTGTCCCTAGTCCGCTTTGAAAGTAAGATCATATGGATGAATACCCAAGTTTGAAATTCCACGGACAATATGCGAGTTACAAAAGTACAAGTTTAAAAGCTTTCTTTATAAAAGATTAGTGTGCTTCAGAATTGTTTTCGTGATTTAACATAAAGCTATCAAACTAAAGTCTATTTTTTTATACAGATCGAATGGTTTTTCTTGGGACTTTTTACATTTTTCTCAAACTGTTATTAAAATAAACCATACGAGACATGGTATAAAATTAGAACTTAAATTACTTATTTCAACGCTTTACACAGGTTAAAACGCTAAATGTTATTAGCTTATTTTTTGACTGCGAACAGACGTGTCGGATGTAGCAGCCTCGGTCGCGAGGGCACTAAAGATGGAGGAGTGACTGCAATAGGGAGAACAGCCTAAGAATACCAAACACTAGGCATCCAATCATAAAAAAACCCAAGGGCCTAAAACGCAAGAGTCAGTTGTGTAGAATTACAACGAACCAGATGGCTCCTAGCGTGTTAGATTTGTAATCACAGAACGTGATGTCAAGTTCGTTCTGTGCGTATCAACTGCGGTTACTGCAAGATACCCTTTTTTTACTGATGGTGTGAATGCCCAATACATGCCCATGTCGGCCACTGCAAAATACCCTAAATGCCAGGTCGTAATTTACCACACTTAAAAAGCAAGTGGACACAGTGAGTCAGTTCTGTAAGGACCCAACTACTTTTTCCTAATACCAAACCACGGAATAGACAGCGCTAGTGTTGGAGATTGGACATTGCATTACCGGCGTGCTACATCTTTAGTCGCCTTGTGACGGATCATATTTCAAAATAAGTTAACTAATAAAGCGTTATAAACCGTCAATAGCGTTTGATTCAAATGTGTATTTTTCGCGTAAACAAATAAATTCGCTCGACAGCCATACGTCAATGCTGCAATGTGCTAGCCGTCCAATATAAAAAGCCCCTTCACAGAGTGCGCGTGCGCGAAGCGAGTTTACCTCGGGCGCGGCTGGGCCAAGTCCCTTGCGGATGCGTTATGGCTCGTGTCCGCAGCGAGCGGGGGCGCGCCCGTGCTCGACGATATGGACGCACTCTTTACGTGCGTTTTCGCCGTCGCACCGCCGCTTTGGTTCGCTGCGTTCGCGCTGTTTTTTCCGTCCGTTTGCGTCGCACTGTTTCAACGCATGCTGTTAGTACCACTACCCCCCTTATGTTAGCATGCTTCGGTATTACGAATGTCTATTATATTTACATGCACTCCGATTATACGGTAACACTACATAGTATATAACAATATGTATACTTAAATATGGTACATGGTTACATAGATCTAATATAATAACTTTATGTGTCTTATGTATTCTATAAGGATTCTAAAATCGGTTTACCGTCGCGTATATTTACAATAACTACAACGATAAATATATTTCATATCTAAAAAAGAGAAAAGTATATTTCTGGCTTGAAATGTACAATGCATGTTCAGTGTTTGACATTTTAGGAATATATAACCTAGAAAAGAAATATCTATCTATCCGGGCTTAAGTAGTCTAGGTCTATTAGAAGACGTTACTGAAAGATTTAGAGAACAGGTGTCTGGGCAGATACGTTTGCCAATATTTGTGTGTGATCTTAAAAAAGAAATTGTACCTCGGCGTATCATGCGGCGGCGAAAGCTTAGCGGGTGTATGCGTGTGCGCATCGAATTGCGGACGGCGCGGCTGCCCGGTGAGCGTACGAGACCGCGCCTCTAGCTTCGGCTGCGCGGACGTTGGCCGCGCCGTGTTCTGTACCTAACACGATACAGGTTAATAAAAGAACAATACTAAAAAATAGCAGGGGCTCTATCTTTCAATCAAACTTTGGAAAATACCTTAAGATTCTTCGTTTTTTAAATATTATTCATAATTTAAAGTCCATTTTACCTGCATCTGGGCTATACGCGCCGTGTTCTCTTTGATGGAAGCCGAGTCAATGGTGTTCTGGAAATTTTAATGTTTATGCGTCAGTTTTGTCACAGTATATAACAAATATTTATAGTAAACTAATAACTTATCTACATATGTAGGGGAAAGAAAACACGCATGTCCTAAACATATTTTTGGTATATGTCACCAAACATATAACCAGCATGTGAACTTGTAAAGGGTCTATTATCGATCAATCGTACATGTGGCCTAGCTTAAAATTAATATACTATTTCGAGTAACAGTTAACCCCCTCCCCACCTAAAATTTAAAATTTCAAACTTACTTGTCTTTTAAAATTCGACGTAGTGGTGGTCGCTGTGGATGTAGTATTGTTGGCGGTACTCGTAGTCGTGCCCACTGCAAGTCCAAACACATATTACACACTATAAACACAAAAACAGGTCAGTAATCCGTTAATCACGTGAAAGCACAACACTTGTGTTAAGATTACGTCATTTGTTCACTAAAAAGACCAACGAAATATAAACACGCTATAAGGGGCACGAAACATTTGTTTTTATATATTGTAAAAAAGTAAAGATTTCAGTGTCAAAATGACAATACCGGCATTTGTTTTTAATTCCGTTGCGTTATAAACCACAAGAGAGCAGGGATAAGGTAATAATCGCTCGCTTCAGCAAAATACATTAATGATTTAATCGACTGCGTGTTGCATTAATTTTCTTTGGCTTTAAGTAAAATAAAATAAATAATCTGTAAATAATGAACAAACATCTCGTCAGCTGCATGAAACTAGAAAGCGTGAAGTTCAATACCCTCTCAAAAAGCATAAAATATGTTTTAATAAAATAAAGTTAATTGAAGCCTAACGCAACCAAAGCCTTTTAACGCCTAAATATCTATTCTCAGTGCTAGCCTTTCAATTGTTAGTTCAAATAGGACATGTTGTCCATGCCCTCAAAACATCTAGTATCAAAATTGGTCCATCCGTTTAGAGACACATTCTCACATAGAGATATTTGACATGCTTCGATTTTACCACATTCTACCATATTTTAGGTTTTCTAAGTCATGCAATGTACATGACTGTTCTATCGTGTCTAATAGAATTTAAAGTGCATTTGAGAGAGGGCATTATATTTGTCATGCAACATAGAAATTCAAATTAAGAAATCAACGTGAGGTGAAGAAGACAGATTAATCACTAACAATAATATTTGACATTCATTTTAAAAAAAAATACCAAGAAAATATGATACAAATAAAAAAGTAATAACACTTATAATAACTGACCCAACATAAAAGCCCAAAACATATTCACATGCAACTAAAGCCACATAAACGTGCTATTTACTAAAATATAATGTCTGTGTAGGGAAGGATAATGAATGGAAACCTTAAGATTTTTCACATGCACATGATGGCATTATATAAAAAAAGAATCGATTTTTAATTTCGGATAATGAATATTTTGTTGTGCTTCGATAATTCAACCACTGATATTTTGATCACTGTGTGTTCAATGCGTGCGTAAGTGTGGAGTGTGTGTTACATACAGTTGGATGCGAAAGGATTTGGTGGGAGTGGCGGGAGGGGATGTTGATAATAATAAGTAGTATTACCTTGCGCGCGCAACACCTCTGCGCCGGAGGAGGCGCGTCGCGAGGCCGCGGGGCGCGCGCTCGCCGAGATGCTGCGCTGGACGCCGCGGTGCGACGGCGACCCGCACGCCGCACCTGCGCCCGCGCACTCGTTACCGTACACGCAACACAACTCGCTCGCTCTATACGACCCCTATAGCCGACACTAGCGGACCACTGATTGAGTTTCGACGTTAACACTTGAGTTTTAGACCATTCCATGAGTAAGAAGACAACAATTTTCAAGACCTGGATACCCTCATACAGCATCGATGTTGCAGGCAGATATTCGCAAACTATCTTTGGACTTATTAATAAGACATTTATCAATATTGACATAGCACTGAAGATAGCAAGAATGAACTAGACCAACAGATCCGAAGAGCTCGAATCACCAACAACATTAAAAATCGTTGCCACTTATGTTTATTAAAACGAGTGAAAGATAACACCAAAGTCAAGATGCAACAGTTACATACGTGCAATATCAACTTAAAAACTATAGCAGAAGGAAGGTTTCAACAACATCTTAACGATTAAAACAACAGGACGTCTTTGGTTTTGGTCAAGAATTAAAAGGTATGATGACGATTTTGTAGCCCAATTCTGAAGTCCCAATATGAACAACACAAGTTTGTGATGGGTGTACAGCACGATAAAGCACACATAAAATACACAATAAAAATAAAAAGCATAAACGGTAGACGCGCTTACAATCACATGGACAAAACATTGTTACGCCTCTTTGCTTCAACCTTTTTATATCCCAAAATAGTCCTTATTAAAGCCATATCTATATATAAAACTGTTTTTCATTATATCTGTATACCATTTGGATGCTCGGTTATGCAAAGAGATTTACCATCGAAATCAGTACATGTCCATAAAATTGCAAGACAAAAATCAACAAATGGACCTCAAATGATATATTATCTAGTTCGCCTACGTTTTAATTATTAGCCCAGTTAGATAAGCTAGGAGCCCTGAAATAGAAAGCCCCCATAAATCTATTTAACTGGTTTAGATTAGCCCTAAGCGATAATACATGGCGCAAGTTCAATGTAATATGTAAAATTATTAAGTTATACTTTTTATGTTATTTTATTACTGGTATTAAAATAAAGAAAATTAACAATAAAGACTTATTGTCGTATAGGGTAGATATTACACACCCTATTTTATTGGATGTAATAAATGTGTGTTGAGTGAGTGTTTGTTTACCTGCGTGTGCGTTGGCCGCTTGCTGTTGTGACTGCGGCTGAGCAGCTGCATTGCGCAGTGACAATGATGAGCCCGATCGGCTGCCATCAGATTCCGGCTGGAATAAAAAAATATTATAAGCTCAAAGAATCACAGTAGAAAATGTTTTAAGGGTAAAAGACTTTCAAATTAAACTTTAACACGAATATAAATTTATTTCTTGTGTAAGACTTACATCTGTACTCTTCCTCCCCAATAAGAGATAAGTTGCGAAGACATCATCGTATTTCGCTTCCGCCAGAGAGTACTCTATCTCTTGCCTATTGTAGCCGAGAAGAACTAGCGCCTCTGTAAAGGTATTTTAAAGTTGAGGACTACTTAAATAAAAAACGATAATTACACTGTCACGACCTAATAAAAAGCTGCTATAGCTATAAAGCTTTAAAGAAATAATAACAATATTTCCTAACATGCGAAAATGCAAATTGATTATTGAAATAAAATCATTGTAAGCTTCGAGTGCATAAAGAAAATAAAAGACGACATCTAGGAATTCTGTCTTATCCAAGTCTTTTACGCCATATAACTATACTTTGTCTGATTTAAAATTATAGTTTTGACTATTCCCGTTAATGAAGAGGTAAATTTAACAACTATTTGACCTTATTGCTTACACAAATATAATTAAATGGCGATACCGTAAATTAATGAAATTAGTGTCATAATTATCATCCTAATACACAAGGTATATCATATTTGGTAATGACATCAAAGAAGACAGAACGAATGCTCCACAACAATTGTCGCTGACGTACCGACTTGCGCTGTGCCCGTAATGTTGCACGCATGAAATACAAGAATCATTTATCAAACACATGATGATTTATATAAATTAAAAATATATTTAAGATTGGTAGAAATAGGAATCGACGACAATTTGACAATCTTAAATAGATTCTTAAGTGAAATGTAATATGTTACTATGTGAATTTATGTCTTTGTGGTGAAAGTATAGTAAAGCTTTGCATGACTGGCATATGCAATGAAATACTTAAACCTGACAATGTGTAATATAAATACCGTATATATTTAGGCATGGAATTTTTTCTTTCTTGCCCTCTAGTAGAATATAATATGGATAAAGCTATATGCATGAAATGAAGCTTTACACTGAAGCTGTGTACATAAATATCAACTTGTAAAGCCGAGAAGTTGCGATATATTTGTGATGTCTTTTAAATTGACGGGGATAAAGATAATCTTTAGTTATTCCATTTCGTTTAAGACGTATTGTGTAGTAATCTATTTGGAGTGTAAAAACCTTCGTTGTTTTCTAGAATTCGGATTATTGTAGGCACATACAACATAAATTTTATTTTTCATAATTCATAGACTAAAACCGAAACGCGATTAAACTTAACGGCTTTTTCATCTGTGGCCGGTGGTTCGCGACCTGGACGGAATTTCGATATCCCTTCCACTAATTTGACATCCAGATTTCCAGACGAAGTCAAATATTTGTCAGAGAAATTAGAAACATGTTGATTATTAGCCACACCCACATGCCCGCCAAAAACGATTATACCGATATAGACCAATACTGACCTATCCGCTTGTGGTCCTTGAAGTCCTGCTGCGGCTCGACGAAGGGCCGAAGCTCGTCGTCCTCGTAGCCGGTGTTCATCCACTTGTCGCGCATTATGCTCTCGAGCGAGGCGCGTTTCGCCGGATTCAGGACAAGGAACTTCTTCAATAGATTCTCGCAGTCGGTCGACATGTAGAAAGGTATTCTGAAAATTTTGTAAATATAGTTTATCTGGCTGCCTTCATGGGTTTCACCCAATTTCTTGCCGACTCTTGTCTTATTACTTCTAAAAATGATACAACAGTTAAAATCTCTTTCCCATAGAAAACATTAGAAGACAACATTTTACTAAATATATGTTTGTTTTTGGGAGTTTTTTTTTTTTTTTAGAACTTATTACTACCTTGTGTCTTGATGTTTGTATTTATTTAACTGTATGTTTGTTTTGAATTTTGACAAACTACTCACCTCTACTTTCCAATAAATTAAATCTAGAATATACTTTTTTTTTTTTTTTTTTTTTTCCCCCCCCCTTTTTTTTCTCTAAGAACTCTTTCCCTAAGCTCTCCTGAGAGTGGATCCGTCGAAAGGTAACGAGCCGGACACGAGGGTATATAATATAACACCGAGTGACCAAACGTCCACTTCCGGTCCGTCATACTTCTTTCCTGAAATTCCAAAAATGCAAAATCATTATTTTGCCTCCTTAAAATAGCACACAGTATTTTTTTCAAGAGCTTATTAGTGAATTTATTTTAATTTACTACAAAACTGATATATAGTATGATTTAACTGGATTCGCTTCTAGCTACCTTGTTTCTGGTGGAACCCATTCATTTGGAAGACTGGGCTTATTGGATAGTATGACTATGTTTTATATGATGATATACTGTGCATGCTCATTTTGGCTTTTGTCTGTTGCTCTATTGAGTTTATTACACATTACACAGGACAAACAGCAATAGTTTGACATATTAAATAACCTTGGAAGAGTTCAGGCGCTGCGTACGGCGGTGAACCACAAAAGGTGTCCAGTTTCGCGCCCGGAGTGAACTCGTTTGAGAAACCGAAATCAGCTATTTTAATATTCATTTCGCCGTCTAGCAAGAGGTTTTCCGCCTGTAATAGAGTACATTTTAGCATATATTTAATATACATGAGTGATAAAGCTTTAGGACAATAATTATATTTATTTATTTTTAGACAAAAGGTAACTTAAAGTCATAAAAATTAAATATAATTTAAGACCAGGAATTGTGATCGTAGAAAGACTAACTAAAACTCACAAATAGAATTTAGTTGCAAGGATATGTATGTAAAATGTACACAGTATATACAATAAACACTATATGTAACCCTAAAAAGTGTAACCATTTTAATATTTTGCAATTTTTTATATTACCATTGTGAGATACTAATATCTACGGTTGCGTTTGATCTACTTTCCCATAACAAAGGAATACATAGGTTACAAAATGTGTAATAATTACATGAATAAAAAAGTATGATAATGAATGTAGAGCAAGTTAGTTGTAACAGACAAGTTTGTTTCTGATTTACATTGTCTTTAAAACATCTGTTTTTACCTTGAGATCCCTGTGTATAATCCTTTTCTGATGACAATACTGCACCGCGGAGACTATCTGCCTGAATTTGGCACGGGCCTCCTTCTCTTTCATACGACCGTGTAACACTAGATAGTCGAAGACCTGCAAGACGAAATATGTTTTTGATCGTGGTGTGCCTGTTTTGTTCGGCTCGAAGAACCATTTACCTATTTTGTAAGATCCACTGAATCAGTTAAGTAACAAGTAACACTCACCTCGCCACCGGACGCGTATTCCATTACTAAATACAGCGTCTTTTCAGTCTCTATGACTTGAAACAATTTCACTATATTTGGATGATCCAACATTTTCATAATTCGAACCTGTAATATTAAATTGTCTAGTTTTAAAAATGGTGTATTGAAGATATTTCGTTTGCGCGATAATATTGATAACTAAGTTGTTTGTCATACTTTTTCTAAAATAAGTCTCAATATTCATAGTAGTTAGATATAGTAATTAGAAAATGGTATAGTCTAAATCAGTAAGAACATTCATGTAAGTAACGACAATAGACCCTAAATTTACTTACAACCAGTTCTTAAGTCAAGGTTGAAGAACTGGAAAGGAACTTGCATAAAATCTTGTAATTCAATCGTTCAAATATTGATTACATTTATAATAATTTCTTCAAAACAAAACAATTATTGGTTTTATGTAGCCATATGGTTGGTATAGTATGAATAATATTTTCGTCAAGGTTTGTACTAAATGTGAATAAGTACCTCTCGGAACAACTTCTGCAGCGAGCCAGGGTTGAGCTGAGTCTTATCGATGATTTTGATGGCGACCTCCTTCCCCGTCGGCACATGTTTGGCCAACTTCACTTTGGCAAAGTTGCCTTTGCCTATCGTTTTCAGGAGTTTGTACTTGCCTAGAATTTAAACAATTCGATGCTTTACCATGATGTACATTGAGAAGAAAATTTTCTAGAGGAAGATACACAACATACGCACAAATACGAGTTTATTTTTTTTTTTGGGATCCGGGTGGATCCCACTCGTCAGAAAACAAAGGGTATTTAAGATTTTCAGACGACGTCCATCATGTTTCAAAAATATTATAACTTGATTAGAAGCATGTTATGTATGTATTTATTTTGTTGTAACACATGTTCTCTCTTTAAACAATCAATTTGCATGCCCTAAAACTAGAAACTTAATTACAAGTTTCTTCAACGTGGTAACATATTAAATAAGGTACATACCAATATGGGGCTCCTCTGAAGTCCGCGATCTGGAAGAGACTCGCGCACTGCCTCCAGACGAGGCTCCCCCGCCAGCACCCGCTGACGTCTCGGATGCGCTCTGCGAAACACGTTAAATTATTATTAATAGAAGAATTAGGCAGTTAGTTAGTCCTCAGATGTAGAATATATCTGACAGTTCTAAAAGCAAATGATAAAACTAGTGCTATATGCTAAATGATAATAAATGTCATATTACATAATATGACATCCCAGGTGCCAGGAAGTAATAAGATGTAAGGTAGTTTGACGCTATACATAGTATGACCTATGAACAACTTGTTTCGATAGAGGAATATGAGGCCCTATACGAGTACACCAACGATTTTTACCTACCCCGTGAAGTTTCTCGATTGCTTTCGCTCTGCGTCGCCTGCGCCACAGTTTGGATAGAAAAACGGGCGCCAATAACGGCAGGACGCGGTTCCTCATCGTTTGGGGATTTATTTTGAAAGATTTACGAACTCGTTTATCGAAAATGGTTTAGGAGAGAGTGATAAGCTTTCGTCGAGCTTACAAGATTAAAATCTTCCTTACCTAAAATATCTGTTCATAACCAAGAAATTTGTAACTGCATTCTTAAAATAAAAAACTAGATCTAGACTCGAACCCTGGCAGACAAATCTTAGTTATATTTATCATTAGCGATACGAGCGTAATATTTTTTATCGTCTAAAATAAAAATATATAAACAATAATGTTTTCAATCGAATCGTGTCGTCAAACAAATAGGTCAATGGTTATTTAGATAAAACGGTGTTATTGCAGAATCCTACTATAGAGTAAAAACAGCAATTTCAATCCAATAACTAGCTCTACACTCACACACCGTTATTATTATTCCAATTCACACACCAAATAATGATAGCTTTAGTTTGATTCAGTAGCAAAAAGGTAACTTCAAAGTTATGTTGGTTTTCAATACTATTATTAAATTGATGTTAAATTAAATATAAAAGTGACTAAATAGTTTAGACTACTATATATGCTTAAAAGTAAAAAAAAAAAGATAATTTGACTATATTTTTCATTTAAATAAAACACTAAAACTGGTTAAAACGCGGAATATAGCACGGAGAGACTCCACGTGACCACGGCTGCTGCAAACGCATCCGACATTGGGCCGTAATTAAAATAAATAATTAATTTAACTAATATATTTCGCGTTTTAAACCGTTGAAGTGTTTTTTTTTAATGTGTACTACTGACCAAAACTACAGACATATTTAATTTCTCTTTCATACGGAATAATTCATTTACTGAAATTAAGTCCCCGCGGACTTAATCATAATTAAGACCGACCATACTGTCTAAAATTCACCGAACCACTTTCATTATATATGACAATCCCAGTTTATTAATTATCACAAGCACACTGAACTTTAACACGGCCCTGGTGACACGTTTTATTGGCTCGAAATATACAATAACACTAATATCATACAATAAAATGTTGAACTGATAAGTCGTGGGCTGATTTAGTAACCATCTGTGACATGTGTTCATTGTTTACTACCAATAGTGGGAAAACTCCATCTTGCATCATTAGTACATTGTAAAAAGTGACGTATTTTATTTCGCAGACGTTATTTTTTCAACGACATTGGATGATAGACAAGCATGCGGTTCTGTTGGTGGGAGGTGAAATATCGCAGCCATATAACATCCCAACAAGATGCGCTTGCTGCAAGATGGCTTTTTCGGAAACAGGTGGGGATAGAATCCACGACCCGTTGATTGTGACCCGTACATTGCTACCATTAGACCAACGAGCATGAAAACGTTTAGTAAATACATTGAAGTTATGTTAAAGCCGAAGAGCTTAAGTATTGCATGTCATGCGCATAACCTTAATTATGTGTTTATTGTTGTGTAATCAAAAATACATTACAATAGCCACAATTTGCTAATCGTTAAACGGAGAGTGCTTTGTTTTGAAACGAATTCGTTGCAACGTCTTTGGTTATCAGTGCACTTTTATATTGTAATACTTATTGATAGCGAATGAATCATTTGGCTATAGATAAATAAATTGGTGATTTCAAGAACTTTATATGCTATACAATAACTGTTTGGTACTTTCAAAATATTTTTAAAGTTTTTTGTATAACGTAATTGATGTGAATCAATCGCGTAACTACAGACAATACTTAAATGCAGAATATACAAAGACGGCTGATATAGTAGTTAAAGTTATTCTTAAGAGTTATAAATAAGAAATATTTTTTATATTTCGTCCGGACGTACCCAGTTAAGGTAAGTTAAGTTAGGAACCTTAGTTAAGCCTAATCGATATACGAAACATCGATCTAGACAATACCCGTGTCAAACCTTCACAAAATAGAAATAAAGAATTACACTTGGCGAAAGGTGAAATAACCGAGCCATAGAACAGCTAAACAAGATGTGCTGTCGTCCTATATTTTTGGGTTAGGATATACATACTACAATTCCGTGGATATTTTTAACCAATCATCCTCGCGTGTACGGCCTTTTTGTTTAGGAGGTCAGGCGAAGATCTTCGATCAAGTGACAGCCGAGTTGTGGTTCGTGAGCTAGACGGATCAATATACTACTAGTGACGCAAAGACGTGTTTCATAAGTTGTTAAAGTAACTAGTCACATTGTATTTACTCGAATAGTACATTATATAAAACCACTGTAGGTGCACAAGTTAATTCATCGTCTGTATTTTACGCGAGTAGTACACGTTAAAATTAAACACTTTAACGGTTTAAAACGTGATTGTATTTTTAGTTAGTTTGTTATTTGAAAATTATGTTAACTGAGGCCCGAAGTTTCGGATGCTTTACATCAGCCGTGGTGACGGGGAGATGGGGAGAGTTTAACAAAGAGATTTAGTTAGTAAATTTAACTACAACTTTACGGAAGTTCAGAACTTTAGAAGAACTTCAGACTTGAATATTATTAAAAAAGTCAATAGCTTAATAGCAAAACCATCTAATTGAAAACAGTGTTTGTACAGTAAAAAAAAAAACGATTTATAGCACGAAATATACTCGTAGATTTAAGTTAAAATGATTGGTGAGTCAGTTTTGTTAGATCCCAGCTAGTTTTATCCAACACTACAAAACAAGTGGTGGTACCGTAGCTGATTTGACTTTGACAATGAGGATTAGGGACTGAAAGCCTCGCTAAGTATTCGAAACGTCATGGCGTTAAAAATCTATTAAATAATATATTTCCCGTTTTAAACAGTTGTTGCCGTCGTTAGGATTAAGTTATCTAGTATATATATATGAGTAGGAAACTTCACATATCAAGGCATATAAATGTTTGTATTCACTTTGATGTGCAAATTCAGACGAGTCGATATAATAATTATCGCGTTTTTTATTACTGTAATTAATAAGCTAATTATGTTTAAGAACTTTAATATTTTTCACGTGACGGCTTTTTATAAATTAAAAATCGATTTCACATTGAAAAAAATTGACGACACGAGCGAGACTTGAACCGGCATCCACAACGTGACATTATTACCACTTCTTATTGCACATCTTGAAAAAAATTTATGGCACCAATCGAGCTACCGTTAATTGGTGAAACGGATCTATGGATGCCGGTTCAAGTCCCGGCCGTGTCATCGATTTTTTTTCAACCTAGGTATAATGAGAAAACCCGCGATAACCGAGCACCGACGGCAGACTGGCCGACCGGGGGTGCTATTTAAAACTTCACGTGCCCAGCGGAGCATCCACACCCTGAACAGCAGATAGGGCGTGAAGAAATCTCGACCGTTATAATTTACTCGCGTGTCATTTTTCACTGGGCTTTTATCCATCGCCATTTACAGTTTACACGAGGAAAAAACAATTTAAAATTTTATGTACCTTTAGTTTACGTAGAATATAACGTTAAATATACAGCCGACATTGGTTTGTAAGAGTCGTAAGCTGAATCCGACGCGTGCGTTCGCTTTTAGAACCTAACTTTAATGTAAAAATGAAGAAATAGAACCTTTATTTGGAATCGTGGTGTTTTTTAAGACGCATTTAGCCATAGCAGTTTCCCAGACCTTCGCAAGTCCGTGTGGGACTGTTCCAGAAGTGGGACCTTAAAAGGCTGATAAGTAATTCATGCATGTTTAATCGACCGTCAACACTCAGGGGTTCTACGTTTAGCGCAGCATTGTATTGTTTGCGAGAGTCCGGGGAAAAAACAAATTGTCTAGTCTTGCCACTTCAAAAACTAATCTTTTAAGTGAAACAGACACTAAAATGTGTCTGACCTATACCCAACATAGTATAGGAATTATCATATTAACATCTAGTGTACGAAGATAAAGGCTGATTTAACGATATGGACGCCGAAAATTCTTACCAAATCATTCGTACATTTTTTCCTCTAACTCCAAAATAAGATTAATTAACTCCCTATACGAGCCCGCAGTATTTAAATGGAAACGCCACACAACGATAGGCGGTGAGTACCCACACGTAACCGTCTAATGAGAAATAAACGATCTCACATACGAGATTACTGCGCCTTAATGGCTCTGCCACTGTAATCTAAACAGATTTACTTTACGAGTGCGGAATCTAAAAACGTCGCTGCGATAATTATGTATCTAGATTTTAAATTAGATTCCATACTGTCTGTATACTGGAAGGACTTGTATATACATTCGCTTTGGACATACTGAATATTTCTCCACACAAAACAGTAATTTACAATGCGCAATCGTATAACCTTAAAACCATGTTACCTAGCGATGACCAGTACTTCATGATTCCGAGCTTACCTGCAAAGAAAAAAAAATATATATTAGTTTAAAAAATACCACCTAGTTAAATTAATTTAGGCAAGCTCAGAGTGTTAACTAAAGAACAAACTAACTCAATGACTAAAAAACTTTACGACACGAGCGGGACTCAAACCGGCATCAACAGCGTTCCGTGCTGTTGCTCTAACCGATTGAGCTACCGTGTCCTACACGTCATCGAAGAGTTTTTTATTTTCAACCTCAATGACTTCAAGTGAATTGGATGAGAAAAATATGGTAAAGAAAATATAAACAATATTTCGCAGAACGCCTTT